TGAAATAGAGTTAAAAAAGAAGTTGCAGCTTTGTAGGGATGGTTTAAATGTATTTTGGAACTATAGAAGAAGTAGTTGGTGGAAGTCAAAGTTTTTTTATAAAATAAATAACAAAGTTGAATATATTAGTTCTATATAATTGTAAAAACTATAAGAAATATCTGTAAAAGTCAAAAACTTACAAAAGCTACAAAGTTGATTCACCTCTCGCCTTTACTTTGCTTTGAGAAAATTTTGTAAAAATGGATGATTTAACTTACTCTCTCCTAAAGATCAATATATAAAACTATCAAAACAGTCAGCAGTGTTTATTTCCTAAATGAGTTTATTGATGACATAGATTAAAACAAGACAATAATACAAACATGACTATATATGTGCCTTAAAATACTAAAAAATCTAAAAATACTGTCTCCAAACTAACTAGTGCTCTATACTGACCCTTTATGATCAAGTTGAAGATTTTTTCTTTACTACATAGTTTTTTTGTTAAATAATCTAAGTAAATAGAAAAATAGTAAAGTTATTTCTATTTAGTATAGTTTATAATTTTAAAGGCCCAACATAGGCATACAATTGTGACTGTTTAATATTTGTGAATTGCAAGTTTCATACATTTTCTTTTTTCTCATTTATTCTCTTTCCTCTTTTATTTCTTGATTTGTATTTTTTATCGTTTATCTCTATATCTCTGTTTTGTTTTTTATATAAAAAATTCTTTTTTTTGTTTTTTGCTTTCCTATAAAAAGATGTCATCAGATTAGTAATGTCTTATTGTAAAGCAGCAATCAGATAAGCAGTCTATCTCTAACTAGAATAGTGTAGCAGGTCATACTTAGGTACCATTTGGGTGGCCAGATAATGCTAGACTTATATATTAGAAAAATTCTATATAATCTGTATAGTTTCAAGAATTCTAATAAAGTACTAGTATGACTGCTAAAGTTAAAAAATAAAAATAAAAAAAAGATAACCTAACTTTATAGTAAAAGGAATAAAGTGCACTAAGTTAACTTAAAGCTTTCATTTTGCCTTATAACATATTTACTTAATCTATTTTAATCCAACTGTCTTCATATTTTTTTTACTTGACAAAGTATGTCTGAAAATATAAAATATATAAACTGTAATATCACAGAGTTAAAGAGATTTTGTCTACTAAAAAGGGCAAAATAGAAAGAGACTGAATATAGAGACTTAATAAAAGAAATGTAATAAGAGAATAAAACTATTTTGTGTAATAAATGTTATATAAATGATATTTAAAATTTATTACAAATAGCTACTAAATAAATAAAAGTTTTAATTAATGTGATAGAATCTAATATTAGAGAAAAAAATACAAATTTCAGCTAACAAAAACATAGATGCTATAAACAAAAAAATATGATTAATTTTGTTGGAGTTATCAAAACAATAACAAGGATATTTTATAAGAGAAAATATATAATGAATAAAGATCCTATATATTTATATGATGAATTACAAGAAAAGTTTTAAACCAAGAATTTAAAATTTTTTTGACTAACTTTATTTGTTGGCTAGATCACTTGAATATACTAAGCAAACTATAGACCATATGAAAAAATTAATAGTATATATATGCTATCTTCTTGCATTATTAAATAATATAAAAATTAATATTTTTAAGTTTAATATAGTGTATTATTTGGATTCTGCAAGTACAAATAATGAAGGTTTAGACATGATAGCAAATTTTGGTGTGACTATAATATTAAGAGCAATAGATTGAAGAAAAAAAAATTTTAGATGCTCATGAGCAATATATAGAAAATGCTCTTTTAAAATATTTGAACAAAGTTTTCATGTTGAATATTAATGATTATTATAATATTCATGTTCCACAACAGTTCAATTTTATCATTACCTCTTGTCCAATAAACATGGCAACAATTGTAACAAATTTTTGTTTTATATCAGTGATACTACATAATAGAATACTAAATCTAAAATTTATCAGAATAATTTATTTCTTTGATTTGATCAAAGAAATTATAAATGTACCTTTTAATGTTTTTTTCAGATATATTTTTTTAAATGAATACTAACTATTCAATAATAAATATGATTACTAAACATCTTACATTTTTAAATGATTGTCTTATAAAAACTATCTATAGTAACATTTGACAGTGTACAACTAAATTTTTTATAACAGATCAATTACAGAAAGAAGCATGTTTTGTCTTTTAAAATCAAGAAGATAATGCCTTTTATCAATACTTTGTGAATTCTATATAGTATTCTTATACACCTAAGCAATTATATCTATTATTCCAAAAATGTAATATATTAATTTTAAAAATATTTATAAAGATGTATAAAGAACATTGTCTATATTCTTTGACTATTAGTTTATCTAATGATAATATTAATGCCTATAAGTTGTCTTCTTTAGACTATAAAATAACTAATTGTCATCTTCTAAAAGATTTTGTTATTTCTAGAAAACTATATATAAGCATTTTATATAATTATTTACACAGTGATTATACTAACTATACTAATTTTTCTGATAATGATATTGTTCTTGTCTGTGAGCATGGTTATTATAACCATTGCTTACAAAAGTGCAATTTTAAGTATTTAATTTGTTTAAAATATCTTTAGGATCAGATTAAACTTAACATCAAAGCACTAAAGGTAAGTATGACAAAAGATTTAGATAAAAAAAATTTATTAATGAAGATACTGAAAATATCATTAAGGATGAATCAGATGATGTTAAGACAGTGACAGATAATATAAAAATGATGAATAATTTATTGGAAAATGTCAAAATTTTTTTTTAAATATTAAATAAAAATCACATATAATTATATTAAAAAAATTTTTAATAAATTCTTTAAACATTTAATTTTAATAAATTCTTTAAACATAATTAATAAATTTTTAATAAATTTTTTGTAAATAAATCCTTCAAGATTGGATGTTATGTGCTTGTTAAATTTAATGTTTTTCATCTTAATACTTTGTAAAAATTATTGTGCAAAAATTCTACACATCTCAAAATAAGAATATAGTTTCTAAATTATCTCTTAATAGCCCGTAGCATTTCAAGAACGCACTATTTAATTAGTTTAATATAAGGAATCAAGTAATTTCGCCACTTATGAACATTAATTTCACCAACTACGGAAAGCTATTTCGAAATTATGATTTAAACGATCACCAAAATTCGCGATTTTGATTGGTTGAATCGATATGCATGATCGCGTGATCAGCGGTCCCGTGTCAACTATATAGTTTCCATATTTGGGACGGTCCTACCTCGAGATACCGATTACGTACGTACGTGCGTAACTGGGTCGTTCAATGGATCGACCAATGAAATTGAGATGAACACAACTGAATTGTTTCATATATAAGCACAACTAGAGACGTTAGTTTTCGGTGGTAGTGTCAATCTTCGCCTAGCAGTTTACTGGTATCAACTGTAATATATAAATATTGCAATTCTCAAATTTCTGGTCACTAATAAGAAAGTTAAACAAATGAAAGGAATTCAATAATAACTAATTGTATAAATAAATTTTAAATAGAATTTGAGAATTCCACCACAATGCTGCGTGGCTTAAAAAGGTCATTTATGTCCGAGGGACAAGGCGAGAATGCTGAATATTTTGGAGGATACGGAAGTGAAGAATTCATTATCAGGAAGAGCAATGAAGAAATGGCTATATTATCAATGGGAAAGAATTCGAAGAAAATGAGGTTGAATTTGGACCAAGATGCTTCAAGGTTAGTAAACCTTGTTGTATCTTGTTTATGTCGAATATAAGTGACCCGGAGTGAATGTGATGCTTTTAAAAATCGCGAGTAACATTTATTCCTATAGGGTACATTTAATTATACTATTGTTAGAATAATGATAAATTGAAATTTTATTTCTAATGCATTTTACATATTTAAAGAAACTTCACACCTTACAATTAATTTTAAATTTTCCTAGAGATTCCGTGTATCATAACTCAAATTCAGAATCTTCACCAGTAACACCTTCATCTTATTCCACTTATACTGACACTACCGACAATTTTTTTGCAATAAGTCATCAAAAACAGTTGCTGCAAAAATCACAACAATATGCAATTAATACGCCTGCAAATAAACAACGTCAATATCCACTTCGCATTTCAACACGATCTGACACATCATTAGTATCTGATGCTGAACTACTTAATCCTTATGCAAATATCAATTCAGTGCTATATCTCGCAAATTTGACTCGAAACTCACATATTTTGAATGAAATACGAGAAGATCTTGGTGGAATGGATATAGATGAACGGGAAAATGAATTTGGGGGTGGGGTGATAGAAAATTCAATAACCAATTTAAATGAGAATCTCGGTGTTAACATGTCAGTAATTCACCCATCACTTAATGTCATGGGTCATTGTCCCAATGGTGTTGAAGATATAAATAAACATGATAATCATGGTATCCGTGATAATAAGCAAGATTTTGGAATGGCATCTGGATATCAATCTATTAATGCTATTTTGAGGGAAGCTTTCTTGAGAAGGCATGGATTAAATTCGCAAAGCTAATTTCATTAGTTAGCAAGCAGCTTAATTTTTGTAGGTTCATAGTTTTGGAACATTATTGTTAAAATTTGCAGATGAAAGTTTTGCATTTAAATAGTAAGACAAACAAGACAATTTTATTTAGCAATTTTTTAATTTTATTAAATAAACAATATACTATCGTACAAATATTTTTTATGCATTAAACCACAGTGTATTTAAAGTTTTTTTTTTTAATCTAAATTTCAAATTAATTTACCATAGTTGAAAATTATAATAAACAAGCAGAAAATTTATGTTTCAAATTATTTGCTCGACATCCTTTATTTAATACATTTAAGAAAAAATTTTTTACAATAATTTTAAACTAATTTTTTCTGATGCCATTTTGCTATTTTAAATACGAAGGTATAACTTAATACGAGTTATTGGGATGTGTAGAAAATCAGATTACTTAAGTTTCTTCTTTGGACGTAATTGATTAGAGTGACCACACTAATAGCGTTCGTGGAAAAACAATAAATTACAATATCTCGTAATACAAATCAGAAGACATATTATCGATAACGTTAAGGCATACCTTTTTCTTACGACAATTAGTGGCACGAGGAGGTAGACGAGCGTAGCATTTACGGCAAATCATTTTCTCACAATTGTATTTCGATGCAAGAGCTTTGAGTGATGGTTCGATAATTCCACCACGAAGACGTAGAACCAAATGAAGAGTAGATTCTTTTTGTATATTATAATCAGATAAAGTACGGCCATCCTCGAGCTAATTTATTTATGGTAATTATTATTATTATTATTCGGCAGTCTCGAATCATAATTTAAAATTTGTTACCTGTTTACCAGCAAAAATCAGACGCTGCTGGTCTGGGGGAATACCTATAATCCAAAGATATTTTTCGTACTGATCATCTTATGTCTTAAAGATACATACAATTCGATATTAGATGATTAGCTTTACCTTCTTTATCTTGAATCTTTTTCTTGACATCATCAATAGTATTAGAGCTACATTAATAAGACAAACGAATGAATTCATTTAGTAAATGCTAATAGTAACAATTATTATGCATAAATTAAATTATCTGATAGAATAAATTTTACCTCTCGACGTCAAGAGTGATGGTCTTCCCCGTAAGGGTTTTAACAAAGATCTGCATGTTCGGCTAATTTAAATATTAATTTTTTACGAACAATTTATTACACTTTGTGTCAATTCTCTATACCACAAAAGTAAAGAATAAATAATAAATGTAATATATACGATTTATTCAAATATATGTTTAACCAAATCAACCAAAAAAAAAATCTCGGTTAATTGATTTTTTTTTCAGATTTCAACTCTAATTGATTGGCCAGTACTTTACTAAATTTAGAGCGAAGTAGAATCACGTGAAATACAACCAATCAAATTATATAATTTTGAAGAAAAGCGAAACCCTTGAACAATACAAAAAACGGACAACTTTGCATATATATATGACCAAGACAGAAATCTGTAGCATAGCGTAGGGACCTGCACGGGACTAAAAATTTTAACTTTTGCCGGCCCGCTCGGCCCGCAAAATAAAATTTATTATGTTTTTCAAAAGTTCGACCCACTTTTTACTGTTTTTACCTCACCAGGCCCGAAATTTTGAGAGGTTCTTAAAAATTTTAAATTTTGGTCCGGCCCGTGCATAGAGACACCGGACAGATGCGATCACATAATATGCGCATAAAATGCGATTAATTATAATCATTAGAAACAGTTGGCTTAATATGAATATTATATTAATGATTATCCAAATTTTTATCATTAATAGGATTTGAACATCTAACCTATTACTTGAAGGGTTGACAACTTATAAAATATTTTATTTTTTTTTTTTTTTTTGGAGTTAAGGTGAGGTCATGCCTCAGGTCTGTTTATTCAAACATATTGTTACAGTT